GTTGCCAGGAGAGTGGGGCTCCTCGCTGCCAGGCAGACACCTTCTTGTCCCTCACACACTCACCTTGACCTGCGACTCGGTCATCCCCAGCGAGTATGCCAGCCGCGCCCTCTCGGGACCCGCCAAGTACTTGGTCTGCTCGAAGGTCTTCTCCAGGGCAAAGATCTGGTGCCCTGTGAAGGTGGGCCGGGTGTGCTTTTTCTTGTGAGTGCTGTCGCTCAGGGGGTCCGGGGCTGGTGGGAGGAAGGAAGTGTGCGGTTCGCAGGGTTGGGGGTGTCAGCCCTGCCCCGCCTCTCCCACGGGGTAAGCGCCCGTACGGAGAAGCTGCTGAGGTTGCAGGGGCACGGTGGCACCTCTCACCCAAGCAGCATACCTCCGCCATGTCTGGGTGGGCGGGGAATCCCGAGGGCGCCTGCCCCAGGTTTCAGCTGATCAGGGCCAGAGGATGCTTGGAACTGGGTCTCCTTGTGCAACGCCCTCACTACGCAGTGGCGCACCCACACCCCGAGGGGCGGTAGGAGTCTCCTCTGGGTCTCAGGGATGTTCTTTCAGGTCACCGAGAAACGGATTTAGCACCTTCCGCCCACCGCCAGGGCCCCAGGGGCCTGGGAGTTCCCCCACTTCCTTGCTCTTGAGATCCCATTTTCCAGGTTTTTGGGAAACTAGAACCCTAAGCTCCAAGTTACTGCTCTCCCCTGCCACCAGGCCTGGGAGTCATGTGACTTCAACCCCATGGAGAGTCTGGACGCGGAGCCTCAAGAACTGACCCCTGCCCGGCCAGGGCAGCCTCTCGGGAGCTCGGCGGGGGTGGGGGTGGGTGCGGATAGGGACCAGGGGAAGCAGAATGCCCACGTGCAGGGCCTTGTGCAGTGCAGCCGACCCTCACACCCCATGTCCTCACTTTACAGGTGAGGAAGCCGAGGCACAGAAAGGAGATGAGGCCTCCTGAGAGGCTGTCACCCTCAGTCCCCCCGCCTTGTGTTAATCCAGCCACTGACTCAGATACTTCCCTGTGTGTATACGTGCATTCAGGGTTGAAGAGCAGGGGTGTGGAAACGGGGTGCGTGTGGGTAGGGGGACATGGAAGTGAGAGACAGGGACAGCTCAAGACCTAAAGCACCCACAAACCAGGTTATAGAATAGCTTCTAAGAGGTGAGGTCTCGGCCCCCTGTGGGACTCGCCATGTTTCAGGCTGACGAGGGGTGTGAGGGTCCCGAGCAGCATAGTGGGCGGAAGGCAGGTGTGCTTCGGGCTTTCCTGGGCCGCCCCAAGCCCCTGTGCCAGTGGAGGAGCCCCCAGGTGGGACGGAAGTGGAGGCCCCCTCTGCCCCTGCCTGATCCGGGCCCAGGGGTGGTTCCTGCAGCCACTGTCACTCCCCCTGCCTCCCGGGTGACGCTCCCCTGCCTGTGCACGACCTGCCACCTCCTCCAGGTCTGACTGGCATCCTGGGGGCCCCGGACCAACTCTCTGAAAACCATGGTTTGGGGATGGGTGGGTGAGGTCCCCCGACAGCGGGGGCCCAGTGGGGCTGGGCTCAGCGGCTGTTTGCGGAGGCTGGGTGGTACGGGTGCTGTTGTTGACATAAACCCCGAGGAGGGAAGCAGGCCCCCTTGATGGCAGCGGGACCGAGATGGGTTCAGGGTACATCCTGTGTCCCTGAGTGCTGCCGGCGCACGCGCGGGGGGCTCTGGGAAGGTGATGCAGTGGCAGATTCTCGCTGGGGACGGCATTTGCCTGCTTGGACGAAATTGGTGACACGGGCTCTGGGCGGGAGACGGAAGGTAAGCAGGACCGTACACAGGGTGGGGGTGAGCCGTGTGGTCTCCTGGGACCCCGGCTTCCCCAGGAGGGCAGCTGGTGAGGAGTGAGGGCGGGGGTCAAGACGCCCATCCAAGCGAAGCCGGGGTGGGAGGGGGAGGGGAGGAGCCTGTGCTGCGCCAGGTGGAGGGCCGGACCCTGGGGTCTGCCCCAGGCTGTCGGATGGCGGCCGAGGACCCCTGTGAGCATCCGTTCCCATCCCCCGTTCCCCCCTCTCCCCGTACTCACTGTTGCCGCACGGCCGCCCACCTCGCCAGTCCTGGCCCGTGTCCGCCCAGCAGTTCCGGGTCCGGGTGGGGTACTCGTTCCCCGCCTTGGAGAAATTCCCGACCTGGGGACCGTAGTAGACCCCCTGGGAGCCGAGCCCACCGAAGCCGGCCACGTGGGTGTAGCCGGAGAGGAGGCTGCTGTTCGGCGCGGCCACGGGCCTGCTGAGGATGTCCGTGATCCCGTGCGGGGTCCCGGCGGGCAGCTGGGGGCCCAGCCCCTGGGCGCTGAGCTTGTAGAAGGAGTTCTGCACAGAGTACTGGCACACAGGGGCCTTCACCTCCGAGAACTGAGCCAGCGGCGCGTTGTTCAGCAGGAACGGGCCCTGCAGGTTGGACTCCATGGCCCCGCCAAAGGGCCAAGGGGAGGTGGGAAGCCCAAATCCAGACCCCTAGAGCCCCCGAGCTCCGGCCCAGAATCCCATGGCAGCTCCGGAGGGTCAAAGCTGCCCGAGCCCCAGGCTGCCCTCCCACCCAGGCATCCAGCCCAGCCCTTGCCCGGGGCCGCGACCACGTCAGCCGCGGGAAGTCAGGTGCTCCCAGGGCAGGTGCGAGCCCTCTGTCCCTGCCCGGCCTGCGGAGAGGTGGCTCCCCCCGCCTCAGCTCAGGCCCCTTCTCTGCCTCAGAGTCTAGGGATCCTCCATGAGAAGTTTCAAGTTCAGAGAAGCAACATTTCCCTGATAAAGATGGGGCCCATTAGAATACAGACCCGAGACTGGCTGAGCTGCTCGAGCCGCGTCGCCATTGGTGGAAACCCTCACGGGCCTCACATTGGCTTTTCCTAGACAAATTGCACTTTGAAAGATTGACTGTAAAATCAGCCAGCGTGTGTGTGTGTGTGTGTGTGTGTGTGTGTGTGTGTGTGTGTGCGCACGCGTCAGAGAGAGAGAGAAGGAGAGAGAGAGAGAGAGAAAGAGAGAGATGGGGGGGTGTGGGGAGACAGAGGGCGAGAAAGAAAAGAGAAAGTGCTCTGGAACCTATGTTCATTCTCAGAGGGTCCACCAGCTCCTGGTCCCCCAAGTGAGCATCTAGGAAAAAGCGCTCCGGGGGCCCCCCCTGCGGGCTCAGGGGATGCTGTTCTGAGGTGTCCAGGCCCCTTTCTGTGCACATGCCCAAGCCTCTGGGGGAGTGTGCAGTCTGGACACGATGCTTCGCTTCCCTCCTCCGTGCTGGGCCGGGTAAGTGGGGAGGCTGGACTTTGGGGCCTGAGAGCCTGGGGGTGGGAACCTGCCCGGCAGCCTGGGGCAGGGGGTGGGAGTGGGGCATCTCTGGGAGTGCTGGCTGTGGGTGCTTCCTGGCTCTGCCTCTGCCTCTGGGCAGCCTTCCCTGATCCCTCTGTCCTCCCTTTCTCCTCCTCTGAGGACTCATTTGTGCCTCTGTCATGTTCTGCCTGGCTGGGCACCTGGGATGGAAACCTCTGAGGGCTGAGATGGCCGCTGATTCAGTGGCGGCACCCGTGCCGGGCTCTAGGTTGGTGTTCAGTAAATATTTGATGGATGAGACTAGGTTGAATCGCCGAGCACCCATATGACTTTCTTTTCCTAATGAATTTTTACAACATACAAGGCTCTACTGGGGTCTCTCTCCTGTTTTAGCAACAGGGAAAATGCAGTAAATAACTTGGGTCATTTCTGCATGGAACAGCATCCTTTCCTGCAGTTTTTTTAAAAATGGCAATCAGCATGTCGCTGGTCTGGACATGCAAAATGACAGGAAAAACAGTGGCTGCCTGACAGATGGACTTCTGTCCCTCCTCTGCCTGGCAGTCCCAAAGCCGCTTCTGACCAGCCCATGGTCACCCTCTGGCAGGTGGAGACAAGCCTGCTCCCGGGTTTCCTGCAGGAGGCCAACGGCCCAGGCTGAGGGGAGGCTCCCCTCTCACAGAGAGCCGGCTCTCCCCATGCTGCTGTTATCTGCTCGGGCCGGAATTGGCCATGACCCTGTAGCGTAGATGACGTAGGTTAACACAAGAAAGACCCCACCAAGGCTGTGGACCTTGTTTTTCTGGAAGTTTGGATTAAAAACGAGAAAATTTCTTATTGGTCTAAATTGGCTGCACTCTGAAGCTGCCCATCACAACCATTTGGGAAACAGCTCCAGTTCCCAGTGTTGCTGCAGGAATCACCTAGGCAGTTGTGATCCTGAACCTGTGCTTTACAAAACCCTCTGGGCGAGGCCAGTGCACAGCCATGGCTGGTCCCTTGGCCTGGATGTCTTTTCTGATGCTGAGAGAGAAGCTTCACAATCAGAGTGAGGGCGGGGAGTGCTCCTAGGACCCTGTGACTGTGATTTGGCCACCCCCCGACCCCCCACCAATGATGGGAACTTGTGAGGAGGAAAACCTGCAGTAAATAATTTTATTCTTATTTATCGCCAAGCTTGACAAAGGCATTTGTGTTCAGGACTCCCAGGATGAAAATCTGAAGAGACTTTTGCAATCACTTAATCCCTTCCCCCATTTGACAGATGAGGAAACTGAGGCCAGCTTGGTGACCAGCCTTGCATGAAGTGTTAGGAGCTAGTTAGGAACAGGGCGATTTTCTTGGAAGTTCTTGAACTCTGAATGGCATTGCCTGCAGGGGCCAGATGTCTTCACAGGGAGCACTGTGGGGGAAAGTCCCCCTTAGTGTATGCCCACTGTGGGCTCAGCCACGTACCCTGGTGCTTGTGGCGCGCCGCCCTCCCAACATCTTGGACTTGCCCCATCACATGGTCCTCAGGTGGGACAGAAATCTGCTCTACCATCTGCGGGGTGGGGAGTGCCTCTCCTAGACTGGGTGGTCCTGATTAAGAGGCTGTCCAGGTTTCCAGAGAAGGTGGACGCCTCCCTGCAGACTGATCACCCCCAGACTCCCCCAGCGCCCCCTCTCCACACTCCCCAAAGATGCGCCGGGAAGGAGAGATGGAGGCCTGTGCCATGAGTCGAGTTCTTTATTAATTTTGACATTTGTTCAGCTGGTGTAGGGAGAATGGTCTATACATCAGAGTGGAGTGGGGTGTGCGGTGGGAAGTCCCTCCCAAGAACAGAGCGTGTGGGAGTCAAGAAAAGAATCATTTTCATAACAATTTAAAAAATCAAGGTGATTCCAAAACTTCTAAACAGCGTCTAAGGTGCAGACTGCAGCATTCTCTAGGCATTGTGTGGCGACCCCAAACCTCTCCCCTACAGCTCCTACTAGCAGCGAACGCAGCATGCCGCCGAGGCCCGCGGGCCGGCGGGCCAAGCAGCCAAGCCAGACAGAGCGACGAGCCAAAGCGCAACCGGGGGCGGGGCCGCGGCTCTACAGGAGCTACTGGGTCGGCGGCGGCAGATCGCGGCGGGAGGCGGCCCTGCGCCGGTCTTCCTCGGCCTTCACTGAGTCCGGCCGGCCGCGGCGGGGCGGAGGGACCGGCCGGCGGGGATGCTCTGCGCGCGGCCCCCGCGGGGGTTGGGTCTGGAGCTCGCGGGCCAACGCGCGCGCTCAAGCTCCCACTCCACGCCCGCCCCTCGGGGAGCCCGGCCAGCCCCGCCTGGACCCACCAGAACACTTGTGCGCCGGGGCCAGCCGGGGCCTCGGGGGTTGGGGGGCTCTGACATCGAGGGAGCTTCTGTGCTACTTGGAAGGTTCGGATGTGTTCTGAGGACATCTCGGCAGAGAGGCAGGGAGGAAGGTGACCGGACATCCACACACAGTGGCCCTCGGGCGGGCGAGAAGAGCCTGCAGTCTCTCTCCTGGCCCGGAGGGTGCCGCGCGGGGCAGGCGCGTTGTGCTGATTCGGGCCTCCCTCTGCCGGGGGCTCTGGTGTAACTTAAGGCTCTTCCCCGATGGCACCGAGGCGAGCAACAGCCAGCCGCCGTCTCCGTCCTGCCCTGACGGGGCCCTGGCCCAGGAAGGTCTCCTTCCAGGCTGGGGCCTCCTGGTGGTCAGCCGTTTCTCCCCCTGCGCTGCCTCTCCAGGGGGTTCAGGGTGGGGTGTTGGTCAGATGGGGGCACTGAGGCTGCCCAGCCCAGGCCCCGCATCCCGCGGCTGCCTGGACTTACAGCACCAAGTTCGCTCTGGGAGACCTCGGGGCGGCGTCTGACCTGAGAACGGGCAGGTGCATTCCCTAGGCCTCCTCCCTTCCTTCCTCTTTCACTGAGAGACAGGCTGCACTCCTCCCGCAGCCTGGAGAAGTCCTCAGGAGCTGAGCTGTTAGTGCTTTGTACGTACTGCTAAAGTGTTCCTATTGGTTTGCATAGTATTTATTGTTTTTCATATACACAAGGCTGATTACTGTACAGTTGACACTTTGAACACGGACTATGATATAAGTGCTTGAAGATATAGAAAACCTCTTCTCTATTGAACATGCTGGTGCGATCCCGGGACAGCCGCCGGCCTTCCCCCAGCTGAGGGTGAAGACCCTTTCGGATGGGCACTGGCTCCCTTGGAGCCCTACAGCTAAGCCTGGGGGTCCTCGCCTCAGAGTCTTAAGTCCCTAACACGAGGAACCCCGAATGCACTCTGAAGGTAATGATTTTCCATTGCAAGATGATTAATACTGAAACTGGCAGAGAGAGAGAGAGAGAGAGAGAGAGAGCGACAACATAAAAAATTTCCAGTTTATCCCCAGGAGAGTCTATACAACTTCGGATGTCACAGTAAAATCTGTGTGTATACTGAGCAGAGGGGAGAGGGGTGTGTGTGTGTGTATGTGTGTGTGTGTGTGTGTGTATGCGTGTGTGTGTCCTGATGCCATGTAGAGCGTTCTGGAAGGTTCGGTCCACGGGGCAGCGGCAGGGCTGGTCACACGTGGAGCGTGGAGGTGTGGGGAAGGCTGGTGGAGGAGGGTAAGGGATTAAGGTGTGGAACTGATTTCATGTCTAGTTTTCTTTTTTTTTTTTTTCCTTTCCAGGAAGCTCACATGGATTTCTTACAGATGAGGTTGAAAAAAAAGTACCCTGTAACAAGTCGAAATTGAAATGATTTAAAAAATTATCTCATCCCAGCCACAAAAGAGCCCTTGTTTGCTGTTGCGTTCCATGCTCTCCTGCGCTTGTTTTACGTCCCCCTCTCTCTCTCCCCCCTCTTGCTGCTTCCGTTCAGACTCCAGAAAGAGATCCACCGTCGCCAGAGGCAGGATAGAGGACTGTAGGTCATGCGTCTACAGTCGGTCGTTCATGCGAACAGGTGACTAAAGGACGTCCCTTACAGAGGTCATGCCGTAAGCCTCCAGGGACGTGTGCGCGGCTTCCAGGGCCTCGGTCCAGCTCTCGGGTGCGTGGCAGAGTGTGTGGAGTTCAAGGGTTGGGTGTCGAGGTGTGATCCTGAGGGACACACAGAGAGGAGTCGCTTAGAATTTAGAGGCGCAACTCCCAGCCAAAACCCACGATGCACAGTTTTGTGCTGGCGGCTCAGGCAGGGGTGAGTCAGGAAAAGCAGCCTCCCTAAGCCAGGCAGGAGCTGAAAGGGACTGAGCTTGGCCCGGACCTTCCTGAAACACCAGCCATCCTTATCACACTGCCCGACGCAGAGGCTGCCACTAGCTCCGTGCCCATCGATGAGCTCCCCGGGAGACCCTCCTGTGGGGTACTCTGTGCCCGTGCAGTCACCTGGGGAGACGTCCCCGTGTACCCAGCACTTAGGAGAGGGGCCATGTGCTGGAGCCCAGCAAGGGCCAGGCTAGGCGGTGGCAGCACCCTGGCTTGTTCGGTTTGGTTCAGCCAACATGCATTGATGTCTCCTGTGTGCCAGCCTGGGGACCCGGGGATGGAGCAGACATGGCCTCGGGAACTCACGGCCTCAAGGGACCTTAGCGCCTCTTCGGCTCTGGTCCACAGCCCTTACTGTCGGGGCCTCGGGCTCCTCTCCCCGTGCCCTTTGGATGGACAACCTCTATTGGGGCAAAGAGATCTTTGAAAACCAGATGGCTTCTCCCCAGGGGACTACGTATGTTAGGCTGGAAGACAGCAACTTTGCCAGAGTGAAGTTCAACTCTGCAGCCTGGGAATCACAGCGACACGGGGCTCCTGCCACCCCGTGGGGCCTGCTCTTCCAGCCTGGGGGAGATGGGGGGACAACCCCATCTCCAAGCCCAGCCACCCAGGGTTCTGTCTGCAGGGACTTAACATTAAGAGGAGCTGACAATCTCCTGGGTGGGGTGGGAAGTCACTTGAGGCACAGCTGTGTCCCCGGACAGGGAGCTCGTCGTGGGTGCTACAAGTGCCAGGGCTGGGGAGGAGGCTGGAGGTGATCAAGGGGAACTCAACCCTGAGTGGTTCCCCAGGGATGGAGGGTGGGGCTAAGCTCCTCCCCAGAGCAAAAGGCCAGGCCTTCTACTGCCAGTGGCTTGAGCGAGCGGTTGCCCGGGAGGGGACTGTCCCATCACTGCCAGCCAAGCCCCTCCTCCAAGTCCAAAGCCCGCACGCCCGCCTTTGTCCTCGGCTCCCCCGTCAAGGACACCATCCAGTCTCTACTCGGCTGAGGTTCTGCCCACCACCCTTCAGACCTCTCCTCCACAAGGCCTTCCTGAAGACTTCAGCCTCCCCTTCTCTGTCCTCTCCTGCTGCTGCCTTGCGTGCAGAGTAACCTCAGAGTGCAGTTAAGAGTATGAACTCTGAAGCCGGTCTGCCGGCGTTCATATCCTGTCTCTGCCAAGTTCCTGCTGTGTGGCCTCGGTCAAGTTACTTACACTCTCTGGGCCTCAGTTTCCTCTGCCGTGAGACGAGGGCAGGAGCAGGACGTACCTCGTTTGACTGTTGTGATGCTGGAGCGCTAACGACCTAGGAAGTGCTCAGGATACTGAGCGGTACTGGATGCCGCTGTGCTTGGGCTCCAGAAATGCCCTGTCCTGTCTGTCCTCTCTCTTGTCTGCTTACTTCCCTGGCTAGAGTATAAACACTCTGAGGGCAAGAGCAAAGCCCTTACCCTTCCTACCAGTCCCACAGCGCCTACCCCAGCGCTAAGCACGCCACATAGGAGATGTTATGAAAGCTTGAGCCTGGGGAAGACAGGCTACCATCTCCCTCCCACTCTTCTGCCCGGACACAGAGCAGAGGAGAAAGTTCAAGGCTGAGAGATCATTCTAGCGTAACCGTTCTTCCCATCTCTGGGTGAGCTGAGGCTCCAGGAGGAGCAGGGACGGGCCCGGCGGGAGCACCCGGGCAGCAGCAGGGGTGGGAATACAGTGCGTCTCTATTAGTCTCTAATAGAGCCGCAATCTCCAGCTGCGTCCAGTACCCTGCCACCGCCCTGGGTGCCCCCGGACACGGTCTCACCCTATAAACGCTTAGAAAATAGCCTCCTGCCACTTCTAGTGGCTGTGCCGGTTGGGCTTTTTTCCTCGTGTCATCTCTCTGTGCTGTGCCACCTGCCCCCTCCCCCACCAGCGTCTGCGGCTCTCGCCTCTCTCCTCTCTCCTGCAGCCCCAGACTCTGATACACCTGCCGGGGCTGGCGAGTGAGGGTGGACTGTCAGTTAAAAGAGCAAAGTAAAACACGACCCCTGGCCTCCTTGCCCCTCCTATTGAGATCACTAATAGACGAATTTTCAAATTTACTAGCATACTCTATTTAGTCAGAGCCAACACAGGTCTTGCAACCACAGTGCCTAAATGGAAAGTGTCTCTTAAAAAGGGAAACAAAACAACAACAACAGCCGTCTCATGGGTGGTGCCACCCAGCGCCCGGCCAGGTGTCTCTAGCCCAAGGACACAGGCTGCCTGCTCTCTGCTGTCCTCTGGCAGCGCTGACACCCTGGTTCTTGGACCCATGTACTTGGGCACAGAGAAAAACCCACCAGCTGCTACTGTCTGCTGCACCCCGTCAGGCTTGACTCTGCAGCTGTTTTCTAACTGCTTAAGTGCAACCGGAAAGCACCCCTCACGCGCACGCCGGGCCTCCTGCAAAACCCTTCCCGAGGTTGGGCGTGATAGCAGGGGAATCAGAACAGGCGCCTAGGATTGGGGTGTTCGGCCCTTTGGGGCGTTCCACGGCTTTGAACACTGTCACCATCACTCATCTCTGCTCACCCTTTAGGTGTAAATTCTACAACTGTGCCACGGCACCTCTGGGAGGTTTGGGAAGGAAAACCGGAATTGGTCCTAGTAACCCACTCTTCAATCGGCATCAAAATCACTTGAGCTTACGGCCAAATCCTGAGTTCCAGAACTGTCATGCAGTAGGTGTGGGTCAGGGGCCAGGAGTCTGCATTCTAACCAGACTCTCGGGTGACTGTGATGCGGATGGCACTTTGAGAATTGGTGGATTAGGACTTGACAATTCAGAAAGCCCTCTCACGAAGAGAAACCCATCATCGATCGCCGAAGGGAATATCGGCGTTACTGCCATTTCACAGCTGGGGCGCCTGAGGCTTGGGAGAGGTCAGCTGACCCGCCCCGGGTCACGCTACAAGGAAGACCTGCAACTGGTTGAGCGCCAGAACACACCGTTCTCCTTACCCCTCTCAGCCATCCTCACAGTTACCCAGGTTATTTTTAAGCCTTTTTACACCAGTGTGACGCACAGAGGGACTAATTTCATCCTCCCTCGAGGAGAGGGAAGCTTAGGGAGTGAAACAACATGTAAGGTAACCTGGGAACTGGAGGAGCCAGGCCTGGACCCTGGGCCCCAACCCACTTTCACTCTCTCTGAAACAGTCAATTCCCCTTGTTCGCAGGAGGCATGTTCTCTCAAGTCGCCAGGAGCCCTGAATTAGCCAATACTGGGACCACTGCTCCCGAGGAAAGTAAGTGCAGGGTTCCTGCCAGCCTCTGGTCACAACGGTTTTGTCAACCAATGAACACACAACCTTGTGTGTCTCTCTTTAAAGACAACGTATTTCATGTACAGTTGGCCCTTGAATGATGTGGGTTTGAATTGCACGGGTCCCCTTATACATTGTTTTTTTCCAATAAATACAGTATCTGCATTTTCAGTTTACAGATCTTTACATGAACTAAGTGTGGGGACAAGTTTGTATTGGATTACAGATCACAACACATAGAAATAAAAGAACTAGAGTTTGAGCCCAGGATTCTATCCAAGCTGCTTCAGCTTCCCGCCCTGGGGGTGAGTCATTCATCAATTCCTTTACTTTTGAGGCAGAGAGAGCAGTGCTGGGATTTTCAACTGCCTGGGGGTTAGCGCCCCTAACCCCCGAGTTGTTCAAGGGTCAACTGTATACTGTTGCTTTATTAACACTGAACTCACGTCCGACAGAGCTATAACTTGTGCCTGAACGAAGCTCCTCTAAACACGACTTCCCACGCACGGCCCATCACGGCCCTGCCGCTCTTAGGAACACTAGACAGCAGGGCCATTTCAAACAGCAAAATCACCAACAAACAGCATAAAAATGCAAAAAAAAAACCCCGCGACACTGAATAGACCGCAAAAAGGGCAATTGTTCAGAGTGTGAACTGAAACGGGGACAGAGAGAAGGCCTCCTTGTTTGACCTCAGCTGGGAACAGGCACGCAGGGCATTCAGTGCTTCACCGCTGTGCGCGCGTCCCTGAAAGGCCACGGGAGGGAGGTGCTGGGAGTGCTGCGTTTGGGGTTGCAATAAACTGTAGCTAGTAGGCGAATTTGCAAGTTTGCAGTCATTTGGAATCCATCAATGCTGGGGGCCGTGCATGCTTGCGAGTGGCAGGCAGTGCGTCTGGAGGACCAGAGAGCCCTCGGCGGTCTTTGTCTTGTTCAGAGGGTAGAGCACGGCAGGCTGTCCCCTGGGCTGTCCCTCCCGAACGCTGGCTTCCGCACCACGGTCCCCACTGCACGCTCCCCTGGCCTCTTCTTGGCAGAGGCCCCGGCCCTGTGCTACAGCCTGGCTGCTCTGCTCCGCGTCCCCTAACACCCACGCCCGGTGGTCTGGAGCCACATCCCCTGGGGTGGGGGTTCAGCCACTTTGCAGATCACCTACAGAAACATTTTTTGAAAACTGTCTGGGTTCCTCCCTTCCCCTCGCCTGGCTTCTGGGCTGCCTCTCTCCTGTTCAGGAACATCAGCAAAACCTGAGCCAAACAGAAGCTGGAATTTAAAGCTTCAGTCTCTGCCCTAAGGAAAATAAGGCCCAAGAGTGTACTTTCCCTTCCACTGTCTGGTTTTTCGAATTACTTGCACCTTTGGACTATTTCCAGGACTGATCACAGCTGATGTCCTAAACCAGCAGCCCGGCGGACCCCTGGCAGTGCGGGGGTTAACACTGTGACCTCCTTAAGCTGCTGAGAAGTCAGGTCTAATTTTATCCTATAACTGGATAGGCCAGACCTTTTTCTTTTGCCCAAGTGCTGAGGGAAGCCCGGAGTCAGCACTTCTGGGGGCTCGGGAGGCAGTGGCCCTGCTTTTTGCCGAATGCGGAAGGGGAGGCTGCTGGCCACGGGCCCAGAGCCAGGCCCTGGGGGTGTAGGTGACAATAACCCGGTGCGAGCGGGAGCTGGGGCCACGTGCTTCCTGCTTCCGGCCGACTCCCACCCCGACGCGCCCGGTACTGAGCTGGCCCGAGCTGGGCACAGCGAAGGGCCTCGGGGCAGCTCAGTACAGGACCCCTCAGGGAGGACGGAGGTCCGAGCTGGCCCCAAAGCCCCCAGCGCTGCTCAGCCCGCTGAAGAGCCTTCGCCACGTCTTCTCGGCCTCCCTCCCTCCCTCACTGCACATCACGCCCCTGCCCCCCAGCCATCAGTGCTCCCACAGCCTCCTGTTAACTTTGCCTCTTCCTAGAAAGCAAGGGCGCGCATGCTTCAGGAAATACCAAGGAGGATGGGAGCCTTGGGTTCAAGGTTCAAGGCACAGCTGGGGTCCAGGCCTCTCCCTGTCCAGCTCTTCCTGGCCACGTGCACTGAAACAGCACAGCCTAGCAGACCCCACTGCACCCTCCAGGGCCCCGCCCCTCCTCCTCCAGGCCCCCTTGCTGGGCTTCCAGGATAACGTTCCTACTGAGATGTACCGAGTGCTTTGCACCCACGGAAGCACTTTTTCAAGTCTGTATTTTTGCGCTTGCCGAGGAACAGGTCAGCACGTGCTGCTGTTTCCTCTCGGAGGCAGTGGAGCGCAGAGGCACCGTTAGCAGGTGGGAGTCTGTGCTTGGAGCCCACAGCGGCGCCTGGTCCTCCTGCGTCATGCTGGGCAGCGGGGAGGGGCTGGGAGGGGAGGGAGTTCCAGGAGGAGGAGGGTAGGGGTGCGCAAGTCCGCAGCCTCTCGGCGGGGCGTCGCGGGGGACCAGGCCATGCAGAGAAGATGGAGAACGACGGCATTACCTCCAAAGAGGCCATTCCACTGGGAGGGGCTCGAGATCACTGTTTCCCCCTTTTGAGGCTGGCCCGCTTCACTATCTGAGCCCCCTTCCTGCCCTCTATCAGGTCCGGCTGCAGGCTACTGTACCCTCTCAGCTCCACCTGGAGACAGCATTGCAGACACAAGGCAGGACAGATCACACACAGAGATGGCAAGAGAACACAGGCGCCCTACGGAGGTGGGGGGAACAGTGCCACCAGGGGCAGGAGGCTCGAGGGGGAGCAGAGAGGTGAGAGGTGAGCCCCAAGGGGGCTGGCGCAGAGGGCAGCAGGAGTCATGGGCCGGCCCCTCGGAAGAGCGAGGGCCTGGGGGGCTGCAGCTCGGGCAGTACCTTGGCGTGAGTCATAAAGTAATCAACATCGGCCTCCATCTCACTAGGGTCCTCCAGGGGCCCCCCAGAAATCACCTCCTCGGGCTCCGGGGTGCCATCGGCTCCGGATGGATCGACGTGGAGAACGACTTTGCGAGTGATCTGCAGAAGAGAGGGAGGGCAGAAGGGGCTGGGGAAGCCGGCCAGACAGCTTGAAAAGAGCAGGTCCCGGAGTGAGCTGGGGGTTAGAAGCAGCCTTTGTCCCCAGGTGCCCTTCCCTGAGCGGTCAAGATCGCGGACGGCCTCTCACCCCCCATCGGGTGGGGAATTCGCACTGGGCAGCCTCAGAGGGGCTGGAATTTGCGGGGGGTTCTTACTGAGGCTCATGGATGATCGGGGTCTCACCACCGCCCCCCTGACTTCTATCTCTAGCCCAGGGCGGTCCATCCTGCCTCCTCGTGTGCTGGAAGTTTACGCCCTCCGTCTTCCCCTTAGGACTGGGAGCCCCCCGAAGGGCAGGGCGTTCCTGTCCCTGGGATCCACCTGTTCCCTATTCACGCATCCAGATATTCCAACGACAGTCTGCTCTGCACCTACCGTGTGCAAGCAGTGGGAGGTGAGAACACACACAAGCATGAAGCTCCCCGTGCAGGAGGGAAGACGGGGTCCTGCTCTGACCTAGCATGAGCCCCGGAGCAACACAGGTCTGCCTCCTGCCCACACCTAGCACCGTGCCCAGCACCTGTTAGGCAGAATCACGTCTCCTGGTGTACACCTACTGCCAACCCCATGCATTCCCACGTCCTTTGATCTCAGGAGCCCACAGGGGCCCCCGTACTGCGGTCACCCAGCTGTTTTCAGGGCCAGGCACCACAGGACTAGGTTTGGGGTGTTCCACGGGGCCCGGTCATTCTGGAACCCAGTCGGAGGAGCTGAATTCAGGCTGAATCAGGCAAAGTGGCTGTAAGGAATGTCACGTCTGGACTGTGACAGGTGCTTACCCCTCTGCTAGGGCAGCAGCAAGAAGCGGGGGTGAGTCCACCGCCTCTGTAAGCTTCTAGCCCGCCTGCCTCTGCCCAGCTCAGAGGGACTCTGCACCCACCTTCTTGGTGACGACGTTGCCCTGCTCATCCGTGAAATGCTCCTCTGTCACCTGCTCCCCTGGAATATTCTGAAGCTCATTCCCCTGGAATTAGAGAAAGGGAGAAAACTCGAGATTGATAAGTGGGAATTTGGGAATAAGGACAGAGGATGAAGAAATAAAGTAGCGCCAGCAGTAGCCACAGTCCCACAAGTCCCCATCCTGGCAGGAAACTGCAACTCGGCCGCCAAACCAGGCTCTGCATGAGGGGCACCCCGGGGGGTCCTGGGCCCGAGGACAGGAGGGAGCCCTGGGCTCCCAGGAACACCGCCACGGCAGCGGGGGTGGGCAAAACAGGGGTGATTATGCGGGATTTACGGAGACGGAGGGAGGCCTCCGATTTCTACTCCAACGGCACTTGACAGGAAAGAACCCCCTGCCCCAGACGCCTTTGCCCAGAGGGTGACTTGCTGCCTCACTGGGCTGGCTGGGGACAGAAGCAGGAGGGGGCCGGCTTCCTAAGTCCCAGAGCCGAGCTTCCTCTGCCGTGTCGGGGAGTCGGGGGTGGGCCGGGCAGGGAGTGCCGCCCAGCTCCGGCCCCGCACGTTCCACCCGAGGCCTGCCCGGCCTCTTCCAGCAGGCGTCCTCACCAGCGTCCCGCACATCCCGGCGCTGCCCCCGCCTGGGTTACCTTCAGGAGGACCCGGCGCCGGACCACCCTGGTGGAGATGGTCTCCTCGTCGTCGCTCAGGCCCTCGCTCTCCCCCAGCTCCTTGTCCAACTCCTGGTGGATGTGCTTCAGCACAAAGCACAGGGAGCCCCGGACGATGTGCATCACGTTCTGGCAGCTGACCAGAAAGAAGCCCAGCAGCACCAGGGTGACCAGCAGCTGGGTGATGAAGGTCCACATCGTCACCTCCTCACCAGTCTGGCCCTCCAGGGCCTGCGCAGCCAGGGGGCCACCAGGCGGGGGGCCAGCCTCTCATTCTCCTCTCGGACTCTGGAGGCCCCCTGGGACACCCTCCATTTTCTCCCCGCGAGGGAGGCTGCAGGGCCCCTAGTGGAACTGCCGCCAGAGTGCCCTCCTGCCGAGAGCCCAGCTCTGCCCTCGGCCCGGGTGACGTCAGGCTCTAGTAATTTTAGCTCCCAAGCCAGCTGCCGGGCTGTCCGGCAGGGCTAGAAGGAAGCAGGCAGGTGTGCATGTCCTGGGCGCTGGAGGCGCGTGTTAAAGTCACCGTGTGCGACACCAGCCCTGAGAGCCGGTGGCCCTGTGACAGCTAGAGGCAGCTCTGCCCAGGAAAACTGTCCCATTCGGACTTGGGAAAATAAGATGTCTCCAGAACGTGGCTACTTGTGTGTGTCCCTGGGCTGCTACTGCCATGATCAGAATGATGTCACCCCGCTCGCTCATGGGATGGGGCCGGCTAACACCCTGGAGGGTGCAGGGTTTGTTTCAAAAATAGCCCCTGGTGAGTGATTTGCTCAGGCCCAGCTCTGGGAGTGCAGGCGTCCAGGGAGGGGCCTGGGAGCCCGTGCAACTCCATCAGCCCCTCCGGCCTCGGTCCCCGCTTATGCGGCACAGCAACCCCAAATGCAAGCGTGTCACTGGTGTGTCTATTTAAGGCCTGTCCTTAAAGGCTCTTCCCAGGCTGGGCTGTCAACACCAGGGCAGGAACCATGCACATTAAACTCAGCTTTGCAGAGCTGACTCCCTAATGCAGCCCAGCAGCTGCGGCTGAAAGGAATTCCCCTCTTGGGATCAGGCCGCTCCTCTCTGGCCTGCAGCCGGCGTGGCAGAAAGAACCAGGAACTGGACCTGGCACACTGACCCTGCGGCTTCCCGCTGAGGGGCTCAGGGAAGCGGGGCGCCTTCTCTGGGCCTCGGTTTCCCCAGCGGTCAAACAGGGGCGGGTTCAGGAGCTCTCCTCCCGTTCTGAGAGTGCCGGGGGGTCGCACGGTTTGTGAGCCCACCGCTAGGGGTGGTGACAGCAAACACCCCACGCAGCCCGCTGCCCAGGAGGGGCTCTGTGTGCGTTTCACACACTAACGGTTACGCCTGCAGCACCCCTCATCGCGTCTCTGATTTTCCCATCTCACACAAAGGAAACGGAGGCAAAGAGAGGTTGATAACTTGCTACGTGAAAGAGTAATGAAACGAGGGTCAGAATTCCAGCTCCGACCCCGGCACAATCCTGCCTCATCTCCACAAGAGAGCACCTGGGACACAGAAGCCACACGTGCAAGGGGGCACGAGAGCCCTGGGTCTAAGCCCAGCCTAGGAGTTCAAGGTCAGATGCTGCCCACTGGGGCCGCAGAGAGGGACTGGCTGCCTTGCAGGTTCAGGCCCCCAGTTATACCCCACTCCCCGACCCCGTGTTTTTTGAGACTCACTGGAAATACTAGCAAACAGGTGCTCTGCAAGCCGTCACCTTAAACAGGGCTCATTATCATCCCCTGGAGCCCTGGCGGATTATTAGGAAACAGCTCACCTACCCTCCCATCCGCCCTAGACAGGGAGGTGCTGGCTCACTGGGACTGGGGGTCAGGAGGTCCCAGACTCTCCTGGGCCTGACGCCGGCCTCCTGGGCCTCAGTTTCCCCATCGGTAAATGAGGCAGTTGGGCCAAATGACCTAGAGGGTTTCTCTCGCGGGCCCCTGGGGTGGTCCTGCTTCCTCTCCAGGCCTCCCCTCACCAAAGCCAACCGCAGAGACGCTCCTTCCCCAGGACTCCGGGCGGGGGGCGGGGGCACAGACCCGGAGTGGGGCCATCTGTGCTATGGGACAAGCGCTCACTACCGGGAGAGGCAGCAGAAGCTCCCGTGGAACAGCCCCTCGGCCAAGAACGCACGGGGTGGCCTGGGGTTAAAAAATGGGTGCAGCCGCTCAGCCGTCGGTAGTGCGGACTCGGCAGGGACGCCTTCTAAATACCACCCTGTTTAATTCCTGGCTGCACTTGGCAGCCAGCAGCCCAGGTCATCGTGGAGCCCGCCTGGTCCTGGGGTCCTCAGAGGTGCCTTCGAGGCTCGGGCTTGGACAGGAGCGAGGGGAGCGGAGGGCAGTGGAGGGGAGAGAGGGTGAGGAACCGATGCTGACCGAAGAGAAGACGCCAGGGAGGGCGGAGCACATTGTTACGTATGCGGTAAAGCCACACGTGCACAGAGCAGCGACGCGAACTTTATAAAAACGCACTAATTAAAAATACACGTTCGTAAGATGTCTGGGATTAACGTCAAGATAACGTGGGAGGACCCCTCGGGGGTGGGGGTGGGGCGATGAAACCAGGGGGCCGCCAGCAGGCAGTGGCAGCGCCTGGGCACTGGGTGCGCGCAAAGGTGACAGACTGTTCTGTCTGGTTTGGTATCTATTTGCAATCTTTCATAATAAAACTGTTTCCAAAACCACATTAAAATGATGTCTATGGGAATAGGGAGTGAAGATAAAAGCAAATAAATAAAGTAAATAAGTAGGGAGGACTGAAGGGAGGCCAGGAGGGCAGAGGGTGCAGGCAGCTGGAGCCTGTGCTGGGATCGCGCCCTCGGTCCCAGCCTGTTCCACCCAGGGAGCCCACCCGCATGGGCAAGGAGTCCCCAGTGAACCCTGGCGACAATCCTTTCTCTACCTCGTTTACACAGGGGAACCCGGGGCGGGACAGTGGCTGGTCCTCGTCCCTACAGACACGGTGGGACCCGAGTTAGCCTGGCCTCCAGGTCTCTGGTGCTAAGCCCTTCTTCCTAAACCACGGCGGAAAAAGAAAGCAAACAAAACTATGGCTTTGGGGCTTCCCTGGTGGTGCAGTGGTTGAGAGTCCGCCTGCCGATGCAGGGGATGCGGGTTCGTGCCCCAGTCCGGGAAGATCCCACATGCCGCGGAGCGGCTGGGCCCGTGAGCCATGGCCGCTGAGCCTGCGTGTCCGGAGCCTGTGTTCCACAATGGAAGAGGCCACAACAGTGAGAGGCCCACGTACCGCAGAAAAAAACCCGAAAAACAAAAAACTACGGCTTTGGCAACGGCCCTGCAAAGCCAACCTCTGACCCTGGGCACCTGGAGGGCAGTGGAGGGGAGTTGCCTGGAAGTCTCATCAAGGTGAGCCTCTCCCCTCCCTCTCAGGGATCAAGGAGGCAGACACGTGCAAAGAGAAAAAGATAAGCCACTGCCACAATTTTTAAAGCTGGAAAACACGCCCGGCTAGGGGCCTGAGCAAGTGAGCAGCTGCCCCAGGCCTGGCCCTCTGGCTGGAGAATCAGTGGCGGCTCCCCGCGGGCTCTCACCTTTACGTGGTGGGAGAAGGTGCTGACAGCCTCCTGCATCCACTCGCTGGGGCCCTGTGGTCTCCGGTCCCTGCCGGCCTCGGGCTGCTCCGTGTGTGCGCGCTCTGGTGCAGAGCCCAGGACCTCTTCGTGCTCCCAAGACCTGATGACGGTTCTCTGGAACGAGTGTGGGCCTTGCAGGGCCTCCTCCCCCCAGGAGCCTTGTGTGGCCTCTTGCAGATAGGAGACGATGGAGCCTTCCGCACCCCAGTCCTGCAGTCTGGGGCCCAGGAAGAGACCGGGGACACCAGTCACCCCCAGTCTCCGCTCTCAGAGACCCTCCCCCTCCAGAGCCCTGGCCCATCCAGGACGGATCCTGTACTGCCCACTGGAGGTTGGGAGAGCATGAGCTATCGCCAAGCGACTGCCCTGTCCAGAGAGGCCCACGTGGGCCATCCTTGCTGTCCCGGTGGAGAGGGCCACGGACACCGGTGGCGCTGGGCCCCACCCTGTGAATGGATGGCTCCACGCTCTGGGCTCCCGAGGCACGTGGCTCACGGTCCAGTCATCGGGGTCCCCACACCCGTCATCCCACCCACCACCCTCCAGCCCCTCAGGTCACTCCCACCGCACGGTCCTCACGCCTGGGCTCAGCTGGCAAAATGATCACCCCTCCCCCTTGAAGCAGGCTCTTCCACGGCCTCCGGGACACATGTGCCTGTTTTTCCCTCCCTCTCTGGCCGTTCCTTCTCAGCATCCTTTGTGGGATCCTCCTAATTTCCCTGGCTTCTGACCCTGTAAGGCCCCAGACTCAGTTCTTCTCTGTCTACACCCACGTGCTCCGCAAGCTCATTCAACCCGTGGCCTTAACCCCAGATGTGGGTCCCCAGCATCTCTTCCTTGAACTGCAGGTGTGCGTGTCCAACTGTCTCCTCGACGTCTGTCCTTGTGGTTTCTGATGGGCATCGCATGGGCAGCCCAGCCAAGTTCACACTTAGGGTCTTCTCCCCGGACATGTTCCAGCCGTCCTCCCACTGCAGTAGATGGCAACCTCGTCCCTCCAGGTGTCAGGCCAAGGACACCCGTGTCGTCTTGGACGTCCTTCTTTCTCTCACACTCTATATCTTATTTGCCAGGAAACCCTTTTGGTTCAACTTTCAAAAACACACCCTGAGCACGACCACTCCTGGCCACCAAACAGCCACCATCTTGGTCCACGTCACCATCGACTCTTGCTTCCAGCTCATCTTCCTTCTCTACCCTTGGCTGTGGCCGGCCGTGGCCAGATCACCTCGCTCCTCTGCTCAAAACCCTCCAATGGTTCTCCATTCCACCCAGGAAATGCCAGTCTTTCCAGGACCCCAAGGCCTGACATGTCCGGCCCCATCACTTCCCTGACCTCATCTCCCGTGATCACCCTGCTCTAGGCACAGGCACCTTCTCGCTGCCCTTCGAATGTGTGGGCCGCACTCTGCTCTGAGGCCTCTGCCCTGGCTGGGCCTTCTGCTGGCTCCGCTCAGGCGTTCACATCGTTCATCACCCGAATTCCTTTATGTCTTTCCCGCGAGTCACTCTCAGGTGTCCCTGCCCGCCCCGTCCCTGATTTCAACCACCCCCTTCCCCACTTTATTCTTCTGTTTAGCACTTGGCGTTAATTAGCACCTCTCTTTTAATCCCATTTACTTTATCTGCTTTTACCGCCAGTCTCCCCACTAGAACATAAACGTCTTGCACGTAGACTATGCGCTTTGCTCAGTGCCACGCCCAGGCCCCAGGGCACTTCATGCAGGGCCTGGCACACAGCAGCATTCAATGCACACTGTTGAGCGAGGGGATGAAATTCACCTGTCCCCACGGGAGAGCTGACCCAGGCCACAGAGCCATCCTGTAACGTTCTGAGGCCCGGCCCCCAGGCCTCTGGTCCCTGTCTAGGGACCCTGCTGTCACAGTGGTGCAGTGGGCGGCACACAGGGACATCCAATCAGTGCTTGTTGAGTGAACGGCCATCGCCAGCGGTTGGAAGGTCGGATTTCACTTTGAATCATCGCGGCTCAGTGTGCCCAATTTTCCCGAAGCATCGAAGGATTCGTTTGGGACACTAAATGAATCCTTGCTGTCTTGTCTCCTAAGCGACTTTGTTTTCCCTCCTGCTGGGGGATGCGGGCCACACCGAGTGGAGCCTGGGGAAGGGCCGTCTGCCCGGGCTTCTGGGAGGAGGATGCGGGTGGGAAGAGGAAATGAGAATAGATTTCCCACGGCCTGGCTGGATCTGAGCTCCCTGGGTGGCCACAGCCTTCTGGGAGCACAGGAACTATCTCCTTGCTCTAGGGAAATTCAGGCAGCAAAGCGACACAGAGGAAAGGGCCTTTGCCCCTCCCTTCCTGTGCCAGCCCCGGAGGCCAAGGCGATACCTGTCACTGTCTGTCTCTCTCGCTCCAAGCCCCACTCTGCACTCAGCCCAGCGCTGGAGCGTGGCGGATGTCCACTGCATACACGTGGCCTGGGGACTCTGTGTCTCAGAGGGGCATCAGGCCATCTGCCTGCACTGCCAACGGGCATCCTGCTGCTGGACCTGTCATCACAGGCCTTCTCATCGCAGGAAGGGCGGTAAGGAGCTACCCAGGAGAATAACCATCTTCAACAGCTGAAGCTCTGTCCTGCCCCTGATAAGCCCGCTGAACTCACTCCTTCAAAAGGGTGTAAGTAGAAAGGGCAGCGTTATCAGCTCTGTCACACGCAGGCTGCGTGACTGCACACATAGCTTCCCTGGGCCCTGGTGCTTCTAGGTTTCCAAATACGGTTTGATTTCAGCAATCAACACACAACAGCGACGGGGGCCCAGAGCACCCAGCTCAGCTGTACTTCAGGGACGTGGCTTCTCCCAGCCTTAAAATCTCTCTCCCAGGGATGCTCTCCCCTCTCCCAACACCCTCAGCCTCTCTCCTGCTGGCCAAAAGATGGGGCTGGCGAGGGGTGTGGGGTGGGGGGTGGTTCTGGGGGAGGGACTGGCCTTTGCAGACACAGCTCCACTCTCACAAGACAGAGGCCTGAGCGCGGGCTGGGCGGCTTCAGAGGCGAGCTGGCGCCTTACTGAATTTATTTGCGCCAGTGTGTTTAGAACACAGGCTCGGGGGACAGCGGCGCCCAAGTTCCCTCTGTACTCGCTGCCAGAAGCCCAGGACGGTGAAAGGCATCCCGCACAGCGGCCCAGCCCTTACCTGTCCTGGCTGGAGTCCATCACCCGACTCACGGTGTGGGATTCTGTGATGTGGGCTTGTACCCTCTGCTGGCCTGAAACAAGAGACACTTCATTCCCTGAGCCCTGCCCTGCACCTGTCGAGTCCTCCTGCCTCTCATGACCTGGCAGCTTCTCTTCTGACCTCTGACCTTCCTCCTGGTCAAGCAAATCGATAAGGCCATTTGCGGCATCTGAATCCACTGTGTCGTCCTCCACGAGGTCCAGAGAGCCCAGCATGGGGCCCTGGGGTCCCTCGGAGAGCGCCCCCTCCAGCTTCCACTCGTGGCCGGTGGCGTCCGAGTCCTCGGCCTTGCTGCACTCCAGAGAGGAGTCCTCAGCAGTGACCAACGAGGGCGTGAGGCCCGCGGACCACACCTGCATGTCAGACATCTCCAGCATGGCGTCATGCTCCGTGCCCGCCAAGGGGATGGCGTCTAGGACGGCCACCTCGTTCCAGTACTGGTCTGCGCGCAGCGGAGAGGGGAGCGCGTAGTGCAGGGAGGCGGGGGACAGCAGCTCGTCCTGCAGCGAGGAGTAACCTGGATGGGCAGACAGAGGACGACATGCTCCAGCTGTTACCTTCCATCACGCGCGCTCACGTGCCGGTCACGCGCGCACAGGCACGGCCACTGACGCGCATGCGCATTCCGGCGGTGCGGGCCTTCCCAAGCCTTGTGGCTTCTGCCCAGGCACCCGGGCAAGAGAACAAGGCTCTGGGGGCTGAGGAAGAGGGGGCAGCCAGGGGTGAGGGCGGGGAGGGGGCTCCTTTGCTGGACGCAAAGAGAAGAGGTTGGAATGCTTTCTCTTCCAGTCCAGAGCGGGGATCAAGACGTCTTGATCCAGAGGCTGGAGCTCGAGCCGTCCGCAATCAGGTGAAAGCCCCACTGCTCAGCGGCCGCGCGGAAGGCAGGGCTGCTGTCTCTTTGCACCAGCGTCCCTTGGGCACAGCCCTTGGGGGCTCTGTTAGGAATGCACCTCCAAGGGAGGGGGCAGCCCCAGAACCAGGGTCGCTGACCGAGCCCTGGCGGGGCTGGCGAGCACAGTGAGCATCCACAGACCTCGGTGCGGTGGTCAAACGGGAAACCGCTCGGTTTGGGATGAAGTCGTTTAGCCGCAAGCAGTGTATGGGTTCCCGGAACTGTGAATGAGCCAAAGTGGCACGAGGGAGGGTCCTCAGGGCGCACGAGGTCCCGGGCACAATGCTGTTTCCTCAGAACTCTGCCTGCCGATCCCGCCAGGTCAGCTGTGACCCGGGGGAAGGGAGCCAGCGGGCCCAGGCCCCTACCGCACAGCCCTGTGGTCAGCAAAGCCTGTTCCCAAGCCTGTTCCCTGGGGACGGGCTCGGACACGAGTCGGTGATAGTCTCCTGGTTGGGTCTGGTGTGCAGACCAGGATGCTGAGGGAGCAGCAGGTTTAAGTGTGGGATCAGTGTGCGTGTTCTGGACGGGGTTCCCTTGGGTGGGGCCTCTGCTCTCCTCCAGCTTGCGGGGGGGCGGTCCCTGCAGCAGGGGAAGAGGGCCTCTGCCTCCCCTTCAGAGCAGGTGCCAGTCTGAGGGGGCCTAGAAGGCAAGATTCTCCACTTGGCCCAGCCTGTCTGGGGACCCGGGAGCAGGTGTGTGCCCACAACCTCTGAATATCCAGCAGAGCCGAAGGGGACCCTGGGCATGGGTGGGGCTGCCCCTGCAGGGTCTCCAGGGACCTTCCTGCCACGTCCCGAGAGGCCCCTAACCCAGTGTCCGCAATCTTCATCCTGCCATTCAGCCCTCACTGCTCCCCACCCCTGCATCTGGCTTAACCTCTCTCCTGGCCAGACGGGCCCTCGTCACTCCCAGCTGGGCCTCAGCTCCTGTCCTCCAGCTTCTCTGCTTCTGATAGAACTCAGCTGTCCTCCTTCACTCACTTTTTCAACCAGAAAATATGAAATGAGGTCTGCTTCCATGCCAGGCACCATACATGCTAAAGGGCTGGGGATTATAAACACACAGACACACAGACACACACACGACAGGTTCTCTTTGTCCTCTTTCTTTCACAACGTTTTCCCAAAGACTCCAGCTCACCTTGGATTCCCCCATCTTTGAGCCTGTCCTGGTTCGCATGACTGTCAACTCCAAGAACAGGGAACCTGTCTATGCTGTCCCAGTGCAGAGCTTTCAGATGTGAGGGGGACACGGGAGCCAGAACCGATGACCTAGCCCATATGCAGTGAAACCGAAATTGCCAACGATTATAGGTGTTCAAGGTGCCAGCAACCAGGCCACGTGCTTGACATTCATTCTGCCTTGTAATCTTTCCGGAGAGCTTTCCTCCTGACTGATCTCTACAAGTCTACGTGGTTCCAGATTCCAAAATTAGGAGAACGAGAAACAGACCATGGCGGGGGGGTCGGCTGGGGGTAGGGCTGTGCAGTGACAGGGACCAAGGGACCCCTCCAGCTCTGGCCAAACTAGGAGGGACAAAGAGAGGAGGGTGGTGGGGGAAATGGGTGGGTCAGATCTTCCCACGACAGTAACACCAAGTCACTGCATGTGAAACTGTGACCTAACTGGGAAACCAGGGCAAATGGCCTTCCAACCCTCTACAGAAATCTCTCCAGATATCTGCGAGCAGAGCATTTAAGAATCACATAATTTTTTTTCTTCTTGAAAGCATTATTCTATTATTACCATTACTAATTGAGCTCTCTTTCATATGAAATATATCCAACGTGTTATTTTTAATTGTCACGACAACATTATTCCTACTTTATAGATTAGGAAACTAGAGATGGAGCAACTTGCTTAAGGAACACAGTGAGAGTGGTCCTTTCACTAGCTTTTGCCATTAATATCTTTTAAAGATAGATTCATGGAGGTATAGTTGGCATACAATAAATCCACATATTTAGAGTAGATAATCTGATCATTTCTGATACAGGGAAACACCCATGAAACCATCACCACAGTGAAGAGAAGGGCCCTTCATCATCCCTGAAAGGTTTCCTCAGGATTCTTTGTACTCCTTCATTCTGCCACACTCCCAGGTAACCGCTAATCTGCTTTCTGTCACTATACAGTAGCTGCATTTGCCAGAATTGTATATAAATGGAACTATACAGTGTGGAATCATTTTGTCTGTTTTTTTTTTTTTCACTCAGCCTAATTTCATCCATGTTGTTGCGTGTATTGATAATTCATCCATTGTTATTGCTGAATGTCTAGATCACACTGCAGGTATATGTTTAACTTTTTAAGAAACAACCAAAGTTTTTCCAAAGTGATTGTCCCATTTACATCCCCACGAGCAGCGCATGGGCTCCCAGTTCCTCCACATCCTCAACACTTGGTATGTTTTTCGTTTTTTATTCTAGCTCTTCTTATAGATGTGTAGCGTATCTACTTATAGTTTTAATTTGTATTTCTCTGATGACTAATGATGCTGAGCACCTTTTTGTGTGCTTATTTGCTATCTGTCTATCTTCTGGGTTAAGTTCAAGTCTTTTGCTCACTCTAAAACTTGGGTTGTTTTCTTATTATTGAGTTTTGAGAGTTCTTTATGTATTGTGGATACAAGTCCTATATCAGATGATTATTAGCCAATACTGTCTCCCAATCAGAAGCTTTTTTTTCTTCTTCATTTTTTTAAACAGTGCATTTTAAAGTGCAGAAGTTTTAAATTTTGATGAAGTCCAACTTATCCATTTGTTCTTTTATGGATTGTACTTCTGGCGTTGCACCTAAGAAATATTTGCCTTATCCAAGATCTCTAAGGTTTTCTCTTATGTTTAACCAATAATTTTTATAGTCACAGGTTTTACATTTAATCTATGATCCATTTTGTGGTAATTTTTGTATGTGATGTAAGGTGTGAATCCCAGTTCATTTCTGCATATGAATATCCAAGTGTTCCAGCACACATATTGTAAAGATTATCCACTGAATTGCCTTTGCACCTTTGCTGAAGATCAGTTTTTCCTATATGTGTGGTTTTATTATTTCTGGATTCTATTGTGTTCCATTGACTTATCTGTCTTTATGGCAATACCACACCGTATTGATCACTGTAGCTTTGTAATAAATTTTGAAGTCAGTGTAAGTCCTCCAACTTTGTTCTTTTTCAAAGCTGTTTTGGATGTTCTAGGTCTTTTCCATATGAATTTTAGAACCACTTTGTCACTTTCCACAGAAAAGCCTACTGGGATTTTGACTGGGGTTGCATCAAATATATAGATTGTTTCAGGGAGAACTGACAAAGTATCGAGTCTTCTGACCCATGAACACGGGTGTATCTCTACATTTATTTAGGTCTTTTAAAATTCCTCTGGGCAACGTTTTGTAGTTTTCAATGTGTGTCTTTCACATCTTTTATCAGATTCAGCTCCAAGTGTTTCAATTTTTTTCAGTGCTATCTTAAAGGGTATTCTTTTTTCAATTTCAATTTCCACTTGTTCATTCCTAGTATATAGAATTCAATTGATTTTTTTAATATACTGAAATTGTATCCTGCAACCTTACCAAACTCATTTTTTAGATTCCATTGGATTTTTATATATATCATGTTGTCTGGGAACAAAGACAGTTTACTTCTTCCTCTCCAATCTGGCTGCCTTTTATTTCTCTTACTTGCCTTATTGTACCGGCAGCACCTTTAGGACAAGGTTGAACAGAAGCCGGGGGAGCAGACATCACTGGCTTGTTACTGCACTTAGAGGGAAAGCACTCGGTCTTTCACCATTAAGTGTAATGCTAGCTTCAGGTTTTTTGTAGGTGCCCTTTTAGGGCTCTGCTATCAGACTCTCCAATTTGGGGGACAGCGATTTGCCCTAAGTCCTCACTTCTCTTACAGACCCTAGAAGAGTTACTGATTTTTCAAACCGTGTAGCTTTTTACTTGTCGTTAGCATGGAGTGGTGACATCCAAGCTCCTTACGTGCAGGACCAGATACTGATTTATTTTAGAATATTCAACCATTTTGCATTCCTTGGATAAACCCCACTTGGTCATGATGCACTTTTATATAGTGTTGGATTTGATTTGCTAAAATTTAGTTTAGAGATTTTTGCATGAATGTTCATGAAGGATATTGGTCTGTAGTTTTCCTGTAATGGCTTTCTTTTTTTTCACCAAAAATGTAATGCTGGCTTCATAGAATGAGTTGGGAAGCATTATGTCCTTTACAGTTTTCTTAATGAGTTATTTCTTCCTTAAATGTCTGGTAGTATTCACCACTTAAGTTCTCTAGGCTTGGAGTTTTCTTGGTGGGAATATTGGTTTTTTAAAAAATTTATTTTATTGAAGTATAGTTGATTTACAATGTTGTGTTAATTTCTACTGTACAGCAAAGCGATTCAGTTATACATAAATATACATTCTTTTTCATAGTTTTTTTCTATCATGGTTTATCACAGGATATTGAATGTAGTTCCCTGTGCTATACAGTAGGACCTTGTTGTTTATCCATTCTATACATAATAGTTTGCATCTACTAATCCCAGCCTCCCATCCACCCTTCCCCCACCCTCCCTCCCCCTTGGCAACCACAAGTCTGTTCTCTATGTCTG